ATTAAAATTAAAACAACAATATCAATCCCAATTACTTTTGGTAGTATTTTTCGAATTGTTTCAAAAGTGTTTTTATTAATAAAGATACTTTGGGATGATTCGATTTTTCCATTTTCTTAATCTTATAAATGTTCTTTTAACTTGATCGGATTCAATAAAAAGTCAAACCAGGGAACTGTACACTCTTCACCCATAGCATTGGCTAAGGGTGAAAGTAATGTAGGCATTCTATCGCCTTTCATTAATTCTATTTAAAAGCTAAATTAAATTAAAAATATATGTAAATATATAAATTAGTTTGGTCAAATATGTACATTTTTAAAGTCAATTTCATAGTTTTAGGTTTTTTTTTTTTATTTTTTATAGTAAAATAGTTTATAATTTAAAAGGTGTTTAAAAATCAATAAAAAAAAAGCTAAATCATAACCAATTAATATATTATGTAAATATAAAAATGATCATTTCTCAATTTATCAAAAAAAAGTATTAATAAAAAAAAAATTAAAAAAAAGTAGATATTTTAAACTAAAAAAATTTTAATAAAAACTATTTATTCATCCATTCTGTCATAAAACAGAACAATTATGGAAGCAATTAGAGCAAATAGATTAAGAGTAGAACAGTTAAAAAGAGAGATTAAATTTTCTTTTGAAACTTCTTCTAATTGGATCTCTATTTTTAACTGTTCTACTCTTAATCTATTTGCTCTAATTGCTTCCATAATTGCTCTGTTTCTATTTTTAATAATATCGCCATGTGATTTGTTTAAACCCAAATTAAATTTTAAAACTTCATTTTTTTGAAGACTATTAGCATGGTTTTCAATAATTTGATTCAACTCATTTAAAAAAGAGGAGGAAAAAAAAATCAAAAAATCACTGCCTTTCATTTATTTATTTAATTTAATCATTTTTTTGAAAATTTCGACTTTTTTTTATTTAATTTTTTTTTAATTATCGGCAACCATATGATTGGGAAGATTTTTATTTTGAAATTTTAAATTTTTAAAAAAAGCAATTATTTAAGTTTTTTTTTATTCAGCGAAAAAAAGATTTTGTTATAATTATTACGTAATTTTAAAAAAAAAAATTTAAAAAACCAATTAATATAAAAAACTATAAAAATAAGCATTGGTATACCAATTAAAATTATAAATATAATGGAAGGGTATTTATTAATATAACTATATAAATAAATAAATAATTTATTAATTCTTTATTTTATTTTTTTTATTTTAAAAAAAAAAGAGAAAAAAAAGTATTGATTATCGGTGGTGGATTGGGAGGATTGGTTTTAGCAAACAGATTACAAAAATATGGAGTTTCATTTTGTGTTTACGAAAGAGATGGTAGTGAAACAGCACGTATCCAAGGTTACCTTATAGGTTTAAACAGTGTTGGTATTGGAGCTTTAAGAGAGTCGGTATCGGAAGAGAAATTTAAAAGAATTGAATCACTATTTAAACCAAGTCAATTTGCAGTTGCCGATAGAAATTTAGAAGTGTTATTAAAGATGAATTCTGGAGGTACTATTAATCGTGCTGAATTAAGAAGTATTTTACTTGAGGGTGTGCCAATCCAATTTGGAAAGAGGCTAGAGTCGTACAGGGAAGATGAAACCGGTGTCACTGTTCATTTTGAAGATGGAACAAGCGAAAGAGGTGATATTGTCGTGGGTGCCGATGGTGTAAGATCGTCAGTCCGTAAACAAAAGCTACCAGACTTTACATTTGCCGATGTAAATGTATTTCGTGTCCAAGCATTGATACCCAATGTGACCAAAGAGATCCTGGATACAATATTCCACTATGACAAAAATGCAGTAGTATTAAAGACATTGGGCAGCATTAGGAACACAATTATCTTTGGTAGAACAAAGAATATACAGCACGCCATTAGTTTAGGTCTAGAAGATGTTGAAGATATCGATGATGTAATTGCAAAGAACCAAGATAACACTGAAATACTATTAATCAGTTATGAGTGGAGACCAGCACCCAATGAAACCGAGCCAATCCCCAGCAACCGTGAGGATCTATTAAATCTGATTCGTCGTGATACCCAAACATATCATCCAGTCGTCAAACAACTGCTAAGTGACTTTGCCAAACCTGAACACTTATTAGACTCGAAAGCAGCTCCATTGACCCAAGCATCCCCAATTGAAAACTTTAAAACATCCAGAGTAACCCTCCTTGGTGATAGCATCCATTGTATGACATCACACGCCGGTATGGGTGGAAACACTGCAATGAAAGATGGATCTGAACTTGCCATCGCCCTTAAGAATATCTTTATTGATAAAGCACCACTAGAAGAATCGCTTTCATCCTATCAAAAAGGAATGCTTGATAGAGGCTTCAAAGCTGTCAACATCAGCCGTGCAAATACCGAAAGAATGCATGCCAAAGAAGTAGGTTGGTTTGGCGAAAAAATTAGAAATGGTTTAATGAAATTCTTTTTCCAATTAATTGTTTTGGGTATTGTAAAACTAGATTAACCATATAAGACAATTTCTTACATATTTATGATAATAAAATAATTACCATTATTTCTATTTATAAATTTGAATTGAAATAAATTAAAAAAAAAAAAAAATTAAATTTTTATAAATTTTTTTTTTTTTTAATTTTTTTTTTTAATAATTTTTTTTTTAATTTGTTTGTCATTTTTTTTAATAAATAAATAAATCAATTTTAAATTATATATTTATATATATTTATAATTTAACTTTGCTTTTAAATAGAATTTATGAAAGGCGATAGAATGCCTACAATACTTTCACCCTTAGCCAATGCTATGGGTGAAGAGTATACAGATTCGTGGTTTGACTTTTTATTGGATCCGATCAAGTTAAAAGAACATTTAAAAGATTTAGAAAATGGAAAATCGAACCATCCTAATGTATCTTCAATAATAAAAACACTTTTGAAGCAATTCGAAAAATACAACCAACAACAACAGCAATCCCAATCACAAGATCAATCAAATTCATCAAATGGAATAAATCAACAATCAACTTTAAAGCGATCAAAATTAATTATTGATTTGGTCATTGATGTTTGCACAAATTTAAAATTCTCATTAGATGACTTTGAAAAAAATATACCAATTAAGCATCAAAGAATTATTTTAGAGCAATTAGAAACAAAGGCAGATGTAGATATAGAATACCAAACATTTTTAAATAGATGGATCATAAGAGGTATAATAAAAGGCACACCAATTAAATATCTATTATCAAACTATTCATCCTCATCATCTTCCCCAAACCTAGTATCAACACAACCAACATCCACATCAATACTAGGTGCACCAATGACTCCACCCTCCTCACCACCTCCAACTCCACCATCATTCATCTCATTATCCTCATCCACCACATCATCATCAACAACAAAGAACGAACTAAACAGCAGTGGAGGCGATACCTCAGCATCATTAGAAGAACTATTTCATAAATCAAATTTGTTTTTAAATGACTGGATTTCCGAAAACTATGATAGCGATAAACCGTCAGACTCAGACCAAGTAGTACCCATTGTTCTCTGTGAATTGGGCGAATTTCAATTTTACAAAGAAAACTTTTATGATGCCAGAGTTTTATTTGACAAAGCATACAAAATCATAAATACCCAACATATACTAGATATAATCGAAAAGGCCAATAATCAAATTAAGAAAACGCAACCAATTAAAGGTATAGTGGGTAATAAACTTCAGCAACTATCTGATTACAAAGAGAAAATTCATTCACTCATTATAGCATGCAAAACTATTGATTTATATGATGAAGACTCAATGGATATCAGTAGCAAAGACAAATCAACAATATTAGATGGTGGTGAAAATAATACAAACTATAAAGTAGAAAAGGCGATCTCAAAAAATAATTTAGAAGAGTTGGTATCACTTTTAAATCAAGATATTTTTAGTAAATCACAGCACCAGCAATCAATCTCTATGCCCTTCAGATACAATTTAGAAACAAATATATTACCACCAAAGATCAAAACTAAACAAGATAAACTATTATTTTTAAATATTTACTATGGCAATTTAATAAAATCAATAATTTTAGACTGTAAGTTCATACATTAATATAACCCTAAATAACGAATTATTTCTAATACTTTTCCCATTTAATATTTATATAGCCAATTTTTATTACTATCAATATGATTTATATAGATTCAAAAACATTGAAAAAGAGGAAGTTGAAATCTTTTTTAAATTAATCAAAATGGCAACAGATAAATTAAATCAAAATGATAATGAAAAGATAAAATTTTTATTGTTCAGGATTTACAATATAATACAATGTGATCAATTAATAAACCAAAATCAAAACCAATTTATCCAACTATTAAAAACAAATAACCAATCATTATTTAATCAATTCAGTAACAATAATAACAATAAAAATTGCGAAATTAAATTTGATAATATAAACAATAATAATTTAATATTAAATAATTTTATTAAAGAGAATGAACCAAGCAAAATCAAAGTACTATTGGAGCCTATAAAGAATCAATTTAATCTAGATGAACAACAACTAAATGCTATTTACTATCAAAAAGCATTAGATTTATTTGAAAGTGGTGATATCGAAAATTCAAAAATTATATTAAAGGAATATACTACAACTACCTCAACAAACTCAACCGAGTTCCAGCTATATTTATATGATTTACTATTGAAGAATTATAAAAAAGAAGAGCAAACAGCAACTAGCGGTGCTACAGAAAAGAAACAAACTAAATCCAGAACTATCATTGTCGATTCATTCAAATCGCTATTAACAAAATATGGAATACCTTCAGAATTTATAATGGAGAGAATCTTTTCAACACTTTTAAACAACTCCAAGTGGGAAACTGTTAAATCTTTATCAGCATTATTAAAACACCACGAATCTTTAAGCGAGCTCGTAAATATAGCAAGTAGTATAGCATCAATAGGTAAGATAATTGAAATTGAAAATAAAGAAAAGAAAATTCAGCAACAACAAGAACGAGAAGAAAAAGCAAAAGCTGAAGCAATTGTTAATGATGAAGAAAAAAATGATAGCGATACAAATAACAGTACCGATGTTAAAATGACCGATAGTCCAAAATCAAACTCTGATAAACCATCACCAAACAACGACTCCACTATAAATAATAACATAAATCAAAATGGTAATAATGATTATAATAGCAACAATAATAATGCCAATAATATCAACAATGATGATGGTGGTGAAAATAATAATGATAATAATAACAAAAACAATAATTATAATAACTATAGCGACAATGATAGTGATATGGATATAGATGATGACGATTTAACCCCAACCTATACAAATGCAACAACCACACAATCAACCAATACTCTAAATAAGAATGCAAAAAGCAAATCAAAAGATACTATAAATTCAAAATCTGAGGAAGCAGTCATTTCATTCATCAACTCAATTATTCCAAAATACGAACAAAAAAGTATTCATTGGACATTCATCGAGAGCAATCATTTCTACAGCAAAAACTCAAACCAAACCTCAGGTCTTTTAAATCTTTTAGAAAAAAAATCACTGTACAATAGAATTATTCTTATATTTGTTGGCCTGATTCATTCAATTCAAATCTGTAAAAAAGTAACTACTATTTTAAAACTTTACCATCTTTTTATATACTAATCATAATTTTTATTTATATAGACCCAAAATGATATAAACTTAGCACTATACAACGAATACTCCCAAATTATTGCAAACACTATCACTTTTCCAAAGTAACTATTACTATAATTATTTTCAAAATACACTCAAAATCCCTCACATATTAATATAACTCCTTTATTATAGTAAACACTTTTCAGTGGAAATAGAACCAATTTTATTAAATATTTATTTGGATACATTAAATAGAATGAACAAAATATTTGGATTAACTTTAGAAAAGGATCAACTTCGTGAAAGTGGAACAACTTTACCAAAAGATGATACCGAAGTTATTTTTAATAATGGCAAAAACCTAATTTTTATTGGTGATATTTATTTTGAAAAGAAATACTATAGAGAATCATTAAAATATTATTTATTGGGATGTGCTATTGAAAATGCATTTTATTCAGATCCAACCAAAACAGCATTGACAACCTCAAAATATTTTACGCATTTAGCTCGTAGATTATTCGATTGTTTTTACTTTTTAAAATCACCAATGCAGGCCATTGTGGTTTCACAATTTTTTGGCAATTTAAATCAAACCTGTTCAGTCTCATTCAAAATTATTCAAGATGAATTCTATCAATTAGATACAAACTATTTTCAATATATTTGGGAGATGCCATTACTAGAAATTTTAATAAATACTTTTACAAAGCAAAAAGATATAAAAAAAGTTTATATTTTAGTAAGTACTTCCTAATTAAAAATATAATAACAAATAAAAAATAAAAGATACTAATATTTCCTTTTTTTTTATGCAGACACAAATTATTTCAAATCCAAATATAAACGAATTTAATCATCCAGATATAAGAAAAAATTATATTAAAAATACCAAAAATAATTTTTTGAAAGCAATTTCATCAAACTATTTATTATCATAATAAAATAATAAACCTATATTTAAATTTCCACTATTCTAACTATGTTTTATCTTTTCTTTTATATTAATATATTACACTAGTTTTTTTTTTTTTTTGATTTATATAATTTTTTTTTATTGGTTTTTTTTTCGATATATTATTACTATTTTAATTTAATTGTTTAATTCTGATTTTCTAACTGCTGGTTTAAATGAAAGATCGATTGATTGAAGTTTTTTATAACGAAGAGCCTCATCTCTTTTATTTTGGATTTCGTTTTCTTGTCTTTGTTTATATTGTAAATGTGGTAATAATTCTGAAGTAAAGGTTTTTGGATCTTCAGTTGATCTTGAAAACTTTAAAAATAAAACCTGTTCTGAAAGTGGGTGGAATTGAGCAACTGCTAATTTTCCAATAAGTTGTTCTTTATCATCAAGATTCTAAAATAATTATAAAAAAATTAATATCTTGTTAATTTATGTAACCATTATCTATCATCATTCCACTTTTAAAATGTATCCTCAAAATAAAAAGTTGATTTTTGTATTTTAACAATAATATAAAACAAGTGATATTTACTAAAAGGAATTTTCTATTTTTATATAACTTGCCGGTTGTAAGTAAACCTTTAATTCTACCCCATTCGATTTGAATATTTTTTAATGGTAAACCACCACCTGTAATAGTTGCTGGAATAAATTCTGCATGTCTAACTCTTTTAGCACCAGCTTTACCTTTAACTACACGATCAAAACAAAAAATCTGTTTAATTGGATAAGTTCTATATAAATTAAAAAATAAAGCAATACAAATTAGTAATCTACACCCATATCCATTATTTCTGTGCCATAACCTGTTTCCCAATATAATCTATATTGTTCCTATGTTACTGATATTGCTGTATGAAACATACGTTGGTGCATTTGGATCGATAATTTCTGATGTATTTTTACCACGAATGAAAAATCCTCTTTTAAAAACTGATTGGGTAAAACCTTCCAATGAGGTGGCTTTTGTGATAGATGAAAAGGTTTTAATAAAGTTCATTGTTTAAATTGGGGATATACAATGAATTTTTATTTATTTGATGAAACAAAAAAATGAAAAATAATTTTAAAAAAAAAAAAAAAAAAAAAAGAAAAAAATTCAAAAAAAAAAAAATTTAAAAAAAAAAAAAAAAATTGTTCGTAAAAAAAATAATAGTTTAAAGTTCTTACTTTATTTTTTATTTTATATATTTAAATGATTAAATTAAACAAACAAACAAAAAATAGTCTATTGAAATTAATTGATAATTCATTATAAAATATTGATAATGATTATATTAATTTTTTTTTTGTGGAAAAAAAAATTTTATTTTTTGTTTTGAAAAAGTGTGTGGTTATAGTTTTTGAGATATATATTTATTTTTTATTTGTTTTATTTATTTTTTAGTGGCGAGAGTTTGATATTTTGGTTTTCTTGGTATTTTTCTTTCTCTATTCTTGTTTTTAACATTGTGAGTTTCATAAAAATGTACACCGACTTTTTGTTTATTTGTTGCTTTTCTTTTATCTTTCTTTGGACCTGCTTCAGTGTCTGAATCAACTTCTGGCATTTCGTTATATTCTTTTCTTGTTTTTTTACCTGCTTTAGCAACAGCAACTGTAGATTTAGTTTCTTTGGCTTCAGCTAATTTGCTTAATAATGGTGACATGGTATTTTTAACAGCTAATTTCTTTTGAACTTTTGGTTTAACATCTTCTTCATCATCTGATTTTTCTTTCTTTATGGCTGCAATAGATTTCTTTTTGGCAGCAGATTCTTTTTTAACTTGAGTGGTGGTGGTAGTAGTGGTGGTGGTAGTTTGTTTTTTATTATTTTCTTGAACTGGTTCTTTTTTAACAGCTGGTACCTTTTTATTTAAAACTGGTTTAGCTGGTGATGCAACTTTTTTGTTTTTATTATTTTTATTTGATTTTGGTTTAATATCTTCTTCTTCTTCTTCTTCATATACTAAATCATTATCTGCTAAATCTTCATCTTCACCATAAAGAATATCTTCATCTTCTAACTCTTCTTCATCTTCTTCACCTTCCTCTTCATCATCTTCATCTTCATCATCTTCGTCTTTTTCATCTTCTTCTTTTTGATATAATTCATCCCAATCTGGTTCTTCATCAAATGGATCAACATACTCTTCTCCATGAGCATCTTCATGATTAAATTCTGATTTAACTTGAATGTTTTTGAATTTTTGACTAACAACTAAATCACCATACAATTTATTTCTTTCTTTTAATACTTTATCAGTTTCAGAGTCATTTGATTCGGCATTATTTTCAGCAGTTGATTCACCTTCTTTTTTAACAGCTGGAGTTGTATTGGCATCTTGAGTTTCTTCTGTGGCAACTGGTGTTTCAATCTCTGCTTCTGGATTTAATAATGGTGGAAGGGTGAAATATGGGATTTTACCTTTTTGGTAATCATAAAGGATTAATTTTGCAACTGCATTCATATTTGGTTGTCTTTTCTTTAAGAGTTTACCAGTTCTTTCGGCTAATTGGGTAAGGAAATCTTCATGATCTTTCCATTCGGCGATATGATAGGTTTTGGCAATATAATCTTTTTTAATTCTATTTAAGACCTCTGGAATATATTCGGTAGCATCTTCGAGATTTTCAACTCTAACAACACCTTTTAATACTAATTCGGCTTCGGTATCTCCGGTAGCTGGTACAACACCTGGACAATCGATTAAATAAATACGTTTCATTAAAGTAATGTATTGCCAAACTTTAGTTTCACCTGGAATTGGAGCAGCTTTACAAACGACTTTACTTTTAAGGGTATTGATAATTGAAGATTTACCTACATTTGGATAACCAATGAAACCAACGGCAATTTGTTTTTTATCACTATGGAGTTTGCTAAATTGACGGAGTAATTGAATAAGTGAACCTTTACCAAATGGATTAGTGATACTAGCATGAAAAGCTAAGGTTGGATATTCTTTTGATAATACTTTGACCCAACGAGCAGTGGCCCAAGTTGGAACAAGATCGCATTTGTTGAGTACAAAAATTAAATGTTTGTGTCTATTGTTCTTTTTTAATTGTTGTTCTAAATGACGTGAACGGGTGCCCATTGGATCACGAGCATCTAATACTTGAACTAAAACATCTGATGAATCGATAACTTTATAAAGTTCACCCCAAATTCTCTTTGATGTACCTTTATCGAAAATATCTTTTCTACGTGATTCGGCTAATTCATCTTCGTTCTTGATATTTTTATCTTTAGTTTCATCATAAGTACCCGATGTTTCGCTAGCTTTGGTAACAAGATTTTCATAATCTGAAATTGAATTTAAATTTGGACGTTTACGTTGTTTCTTTGGACCAAAAGTATCTTGGAATGATTCGGTTGTTAATAAATTCATTTGTGATTTCTTTGTTGAATCTTTTAAAAGACCTAATGGTAATTTATTGGCATGTAAAAGTACTTTGAATGGGTTGCTAACTTCTTTTTCCATTGCTTCTCTGAATGCTTCTAATTGATCTTGACTAACGGAACGAGTATTACCGAAATAAGCTTGATTTGGTGCAATTCTAGTATCGTGTGATGTATCGCTTGATGCATAAACTGATTTAACTAATTTACCATCCTTATTATATTTATTTGGTTTTTCATTATACATTTGTAATCTTCTAATGGTTGCTCTACTTCTTTTGCTGGTATCCCCTTTAGCAATAATACGATCAGGATTATTCTGATGATTAGCTTTGGATACTCTATTTGTAAAATTATTTGATCTACTTTGTTTTTGATTTGGTTTAACCATTTTTAAATTTTATTAATATATATAAAAATATTTATATATATATAAGAAAAAAAAAAATTTATCAAATTATTAAAAAAGAAATAAAAAAATGATAATTTATCAAAAAAAAATTATAAAAAAAAAAAAAAAAAAAAAAAAACCGACAAAAATTAAATTTTTTTTAGAAATACGAAAAAAACGAAAAAAAAAAATTCAAAAATAAATAAATAAATATTTAAAAAAATAATATTTAAAAAAAAATAAATAAATAAATAAATAAATAAAAAAAAAAATGATCAGAAAAAAAAAAAAAAATGATAAAAATTTATTTTATTTTAATTATCATTTATAAGGATCCATTTTGATATATATATATCTTTTTCAAAATTTGTATCTAATAATATTTCTATTTTAGAAAAAATTTAAAATTTAAAATAAAATTAAATTTTTTAAAAATAAAAAAAATAAAATTAAATAAAAATAAATTTTTTCTTATTTTATTTTATTTTCATACTAAAGCATAAAAATATACAAATAAAATAAAAATAACTTATTACTATATAAATATAATAAACTCCCCACATCCAAAATTTTTTTAAAAAAAAAAAAAAAAACAAAAAAATTTTTTTTAATAAAAACCATTTTTTTTTATATTTAAACATACAACAACAATATGATTTTTAGAAGTGTAAAAACAATAAAAAAATGTTTGCCACAAGCAAATAGTTTATTCAGACCTTTTACAACTACAGCCACCGCAACAACAACATCAAGTACTAATATTGCAGGTACTACCATAATCACCCCAAAAATTACAGATACAATTTCAGGAGTCGATAACCCAATTATAGAAAAAAAAGTAACTACACCTCCACAACCAATTAAACCAGTTGTTTTAAATGGCAAGCTTTTATCATCACACATTGTATGTATACTGACAATATTCATTTGTCCATCTGCAGAAATAATTATGGTTACTAATAAATAATTTTAAATAGAAAGAATCAATTAAAAAAGATACAGCAGATTTTATAAAAAATTCAGGTATTACACCACATTTAGTTGTAATTTATGTTGGCGATAATAAACAAATTGAATCATATATAAAAGCAAAGAAAACTGGTTGCGAAGAAGTCGGATTTAGATTCACTCTTGATAGATTCTCAAGCGATATAACCGAAGCACAACTTATTAAAAAGATTAAGTATCATTCTGAAGATCCATCAGTTCACGGTATTATCGTTCAATTACCATTACCAGAGAATATCAATCGTGATAACATTATTCAAGCCATTGATCCAAAAAAGGATGTTGATGGTTTAACTTCAATTAATATGGGTCAAATTATGGTTTCAAAAAAGTAATATAACCAATTTTACTACTTGATAATTAAATAATTAATTAATTAATAATAATAATAATAACAATCACTTACTAATTACTTTTTATTTAGACCATTGTTTATACCATGCACCCCTTTAGGTATTTTAGAAATATTCAAAGCATATAATATTAAATTAGAGGGCAAGAACGTTGCAGTTTTAGGTAGAAGTAATTTAGTTGGTAGAACTATCGCAACCTTATTGTCACAAAAAGATATGAGCAACCCATCCATTATGGGTGGTGCCAATGTCACAACATTCCATAAATATTCTAAAAGCTATCATCATTTATTAAAAAATGCTGATGTTATTATTGTAAGTAGTAGAAACAATATAACATCCTTTTAAATTTCTATAGTATTAATATTTTCTTTCATATATCATAACAATTATAGTCAGCAACAGGAGTTCCAGGTTTAGTTAAGAAAGAGGATTTAAAGAAAGGAGTTATTTTAATTGATGTCGGTATTAATTATAAAGAGGATAGCAGTAAAAAATCAGGATATAGAATGGTTGGTGATGTTGACCCAGAATCATATGAAAAGTCAATAGCCTATACCCCAGTTCCAGGAGGTGTTGGTCCACTTACAGTTGCATGCTTATTAAGAAACGTATTAAAATCCTCCATTCTTCATTATAGAATTCAATGCTCAAGATTAAGAGCTGGTGTTGAAAACAATATTGTCGATAAAAAAGAAAAAGATTTAAAATCAGATAATAAAAATAATCAATAATATAAACAATAAAAACAATAAAAATAATAATAATAATAATTAAATGTAAATAAAGAAAATTAAAATAATCTTTTTTTGAATATATTAAAAATAAATAAATCGTTTAATTTTATTTTTAATTTAAATTTAATTTTTTAATTTTTAAAAAAATTTTTTTTCCATCGCATTTTTCCTCTGCCCCCATTATGAAACACCAATTATGTGTGTCACCACTAAACTATTATCTGTAAAAACAAAAAAACAAAAAAAATAATTAATATTTATTGTATATTAATTATTATTAATTATTTAATTAAAATTTAAATGCATTGTTAATAAATAAATAAAAAGATTTCATATTCATATATTGCAAACAAAGGTAAATAATTAGTTATTTTTTTTTTTAATTTTTAAATTTTTTTTTTTTTTTTTTTGATTTTATAAAATTTTTTATTTTTTTTTATTTTTTAATTAGTTTTTTAAAAAATTGTATTTTTTGTTTTCGTAAAAGTATTATTTTATTTTTTATAAAATTAAAAAATTTTTTAATAAATACAAATAAAATAAATACTTTTTTTTTTTAAAATTTTTTTTTTAAAATTTTTTTTGTAAAATACAACTAAATTAATTTATTTAAAAAAAAAAGAAAAAGGAAAAGAATATATATAGTTAATAATGTCACGTTTAATTAGATATAATAATTGTAATAAAAATGGATTATTAAATATATATAAAACTGGTGTATTATCAACATCAACAACAACAAAATCACAATTATTTATAAATAGTAATAACAATAATAGTAATAGTAATATAATAGAGGTTCATAAATCAAGATATTGCACTTTATCAACATCAACTAAACCAGCATCAGAGGACAAACCAAATTTAATTGGAACCATTTCAAATATTTTTGATAAAGTTAAAAAGAAATCATTTATAATTGATAATTATTTTGATCAACAACCAATACATACATATAATCATATCGAAACACCATTATCAATTAAATTAAATAATAATGTTGTTGAACCATTAAAAATTTTAGATCCATTAAATATATTAGGTAAAAAGAAATCAAATGAGTTATTTAAAATAGTCGAAAGTGATCTTTCTCAAGTTACAAGAAACATTTTAGATACACTTTCAGTTGGTGCAGGTGCCTCAAGTGACTATGCCCCATATTTATCAAAAAAAACAAGTCCAGTTTTAGTTTCAATGTCAAAATATTACTTTGAATTAAAAGTAATTAAAATTTTTATATATTAACAACAATAATAACAACAATAATTAGAAAAGATAATAATAATAATAGTAACAAGAGTAATAAAAATAATAATAATGACACTAATTAAAATAATTTAATATATATAATTATATAATTATTAATAGGGTAAAAGAATTAGACCAACTATAGTTTTATTATTATCAAAAGCATTATCAGCAAATGTACAAAAAACACAAATTAAATTAGCAGAGGTTGTTGAAATGATTCATACAGCAAGTTTAGTTCACGATGATGTTATTGATGAGGCCTCAACCAGAAGAGATGTTCTTTCAATTAATCAATCTTACTCCAATAAATTAGCAATTCTTTGTGGTGACTTTTTATTAGCTAGAGCTTCTCTTATTTTATCAACTATCAGAAATTCTGATGTTACAGAATGCATGTCATTGGCTCTTGCTGAATTGGTTGAAGGTGAATTTATGCAAGCAAAATCAAGTGGTGTTTCTTCATTCGATCACTACCTTAAAAAAACTTATCTTAAAACTGGTTCTTTAATAACAAACAGTTGTAGATCTGCCGCTATCCTTTCTGGTGCCGATCAAAACATTGTAAATATTTCAACTGAATTTGGTAAAAATTTAGGTTTAGCTTTTCAAGTATGTATCACACATTATTATTTTTTTTTTTTTTTTTATTAAAGTTCACCATATTTATTTTATTTTTTTTAAATAATATCTATAGATTATCGACGATTTATTAGATTATACAGGCTCAGCTGAACAATGTGGTAAAGCTGTTTCAGTCGATTTAAATTTAGGTTTGGCTACAGCACCAGTTTTATTTGCAACTCAAGAGTTTCCACAATTAGAAGATTTAATTAAAAGAAAATTCTCTAAAGAAGGAGATGTTGAAGAAGCTAAAAGATTAGTTGCCCAAAGTCAAGGAATTGAAAAAACTAGAAATTTAGCTATTGAATATGTTAATTTAGCCATCGAATCTTTACTTAAATTGCCACAATCTGATTCAAGAGATTTATTAATTGCTTTATCACATACAGTTGTTACAAGAACTAAATAATCATTACTATTACTAATAATAATAATAATAATAATATAAAAAATAATTTTAAAAAAAAAAAAATCCGCAACCAATCATTAGTTTAAAGTATATTTATATATAAAAATTCTTCATATATTTTAATAATACAGTATAACTACATCTGCACCAACAAAATCATAAAAAACATTAAAAAAACATATAAAAAAAAACAAAAAAAGAAATCCACCTGCGTCTAAATAACTATAATAATATTAATAACAATATTAGTATATATTTATAGTTAAACATAAATAAAGAAAGAATCTTTTTATATTTTTAATTTTACTATTTTTCAATCCAAAATAAATCACACTAAAGTTATATATCTCTTTAATTTATTTTTATTATATAATACATAGTTTTTTTTTGCAAATTATAAAATTAAATAATTGTGTATTTATTTGTATGAATAGTTTTAAAAAATACTAAAGATTATTTATGGGGTTATTAATGTTATTATTATTTATTATTACTGTATAGCTTTAAAAATTTGATATTTGGTATTATTTTTATTATATTTTTTCTTCGTTTTCATTGGTTTCTTCTTGGGTCTCTTCTTGAGTCTCTTCTTGAGTCTCATCAATTTCTTTAATTTTATTTTCAATTGGTGGTGGTGAGGAGCCAGGTGTTCTAATTTTATTAATTAATTTATTCCAATATTGACCAACGATTTGATTGATTTTGGTGGTAAGAGTTGTTAAATGACCAGTCATTGTATTTTTAATTTTGGTTTCGACTACTTCTTTAATGGATTCAGAGAATTTTGAAATTAAGAAATTATAAAGCCATTTGATTTTACCAGATTCTTCAACTAGTACTTCTAAATTATCGATTTTGAAAACTATGTTTGTAATTACAATCTCTGGGTTATTGGTTTCTTTGTTGGTATCAATATCAAAGGTGAGAGCTGTGAAACCTTTATTTACATTTGCAGAGGCATTACCTTTATCTTTAAGATATGGGAATGATTGTTGGTCATATTGCCAAAGGAAATTCTTTAAATTTGCAGTAAAGCCACTGACTGAAGCAGTAATACAATTGTTATCACCAAACTCTACATCGACACCTTCTGGTGGAATATTTAAACCTGCGAAAACAAGATTTGAAAGTTCATATTTAAAGCTCTTATTAATACCTGTTACAGTTGGAATTTGAACTTTTAATAGTTGATCGGTTATAAATGGAACAATTGTATTCTTAATTTCTTTAATAAAACTAAATTAAAAATTAATATAAACTTTTTTTTTCTTTTCTTTTTCTTTTTTTTTAGAATATATAATTACTCTTTGTTTTGTTTTAAAAAATCTATTAATTGCTCTTTTGATTTAACTTCAGTGATAAATTTATTACCTTTTTCTAAAAATGTTTTAACATCTTCTCTTTGGGTCACTTCACCAACAAATTTATTTGATTTTAATTGTTCCTTTATATTTTCTGCAATTTTTTCACCTCTTTCAATTAAATTTTTAATCTAAATTTAAAATAGAAAAAAGAAAAAAGAAAAAAGAAATTAATAAAACAATTATAAAAACAGTGTATGTTTATATTTATATAACTTACATCAGTTGTATTATCTAATTTATCATCGGATGTTAAAATATTTTCAAAAACTTTTTTACTGTCATTAAAGAGAGAGGATACTTCTGGATTTGATTTAAGTTGATCGAAAATTTGTTCACCTTCATCGACTAAACTTTTAATTTGTGGATCTTTTTCTTTTAATGATTCTACCCATTTTTTACCTTCAGCAATACCTTTTTCTAAAGTGATTCTAGTGGACTCGGCTTCTTTAAGATCGAAAAAGAGTTTTTTCATTTTTTCTAAATAGAGTGAGCTTTGCTCGTTGTCTTGAAACTCTTTAAAGATAGTGCTACCTTGAGTAAACAATGATTCGATGGCTTCTCTCTTGATGTTTGAGGTGGATGGGCTGAATTGGCCATCGACTTTCATACTTTCTAATAAAGCTTTACCCTCTTGAATAATATTTTGTACACGTTCTTCTTTAGTGAAAAGATCGACAAAGTTTTTACACTCTCCAATTAATGCTTGGGCCTCTCTGTTCTCTTTAACTTCATTTAGCATTGATAAACCTTTTTCCATTAGTTCTTTGGCTTCTTGCTTCTTTATTACTGTATCTACGAATGCTTTGCTGTGTTGGAAAAGCTCTTTGCCACTCTCCAATTCTTTAATTTCACTTAATAATACATTTGATTGTTTGATTAATTCTTTACCAGTATTTACAATTTCAGTTTCGTCAAATTCGTCAAAATTAACTTCTTTAATTCTTTCTTTTATATCATTTACAATATCATTATTTTCTGTATTACCATCATTATTTTCTTCAATAAACACAACTTCTTCATCATTTTCAATTATTATTTTTGAATTATTATTATTATTTCTTTCTGACATTTTTATTTTATTTTATTTTATATGGTTATTAATAAATAAAAAATATAATAATTATTTCGGATATTATTTAAATTACTATATAAAAAAAAGGTGGTGTGTTATATTTGCTTTATTAAATAAAATTAAATAATAAAAATTAATTAATTTTTTTTGCTAAGTGGGTTTGTGTTTGTGTTTGTTTTTATGTTTAGGTTTATATTTATATTTATATTTATGTATATTTGTAAAAGAAATAATTGTAATTACTAATATTATTTAGATAATTATTTTATTAACCCCTTTTGTGTTATTGTTTAAATTATAAAAAAAAATTTTAAATTTTTTTTTTTTTTAAAAAAATTTTTTCCAAAATTTTTGGGAAAGGGAAAAAAAAAAAAAAAAAAAAAAAAAAAAAAAAAAAAAAAAAAAAAAAAACCAATTATCAGATTTTTAATTAAAATTTAAATAATTATTAAAATTTTAAATTTCAAAAGATATTATAAAAGTTTCTTTTTTCTTTTATTTCAAAAATAAACATATAATCAAAAATAAAATAAAATTAACAAAAAATCAAAGTCAAAAATAAAAAAATAAAAAATTGGTGATTGGGAAATGTAAATTTTGAATAATAAAATTTTATTATTGTTGGTTTTTTTTTTTGCCTTTAAAATAAAAAATTTAAATTAATATAAAGTTGGAAGAAATATAAAAAAATTTAGAGCATACCTTTATAAACCGAATTGTTTTCCATTTGGATTTTGATTTATGACATCAAAGTTCGATTTTGGTGGTGGTCTGGATATTGGAAGAATAGTCATACCACCTCTTCTTGAGCCGTCTGATGGATCGATAAAAAGGTCCATTTTTTAGTCTATTAAAATTTTAGGTAATAAATATAAACAAAATATAACAAAAAATAGGGAATGAATTATTTATAAATAAGAAAATGAAAAAAATAAAAAAAACATAAAGTATATATAAAAAAAAAAAAAATAAAAAAAAAAAATAAAGTGGAAATATTTATAAATATCTTGAAAATATTATAAATTTTTTTAATTTGCAATATTTTTTTTCGCGAGCCCAAGAAAATTCTCAGTTGAGTGACACATTCACTCCTGAAATTCATTTTTATAAATAGCAAAAAAAATAAAAAAAAAATAAAAAAAATTAAATTTATGTTTTGGTTGGTGAATAAACTCCGCTGGGATTTATTTAATGACTTAAGTTAGTAAAATTACTTTAAAAATAGAAAAAAAAAAAAGGTTTTATTAGCAAAGGAAACATTACAACAAAAAATAAATCAAAACTTTGGTATAAAAAAAATTTGAAACAACTTACTTTTTTACCAAGTTCCTTTTTGAAGTACTGGAGTGGAGAAGCTAGTATTTGTTGGTGGTGGGATGTATTGATATTTCTTTGGTCCATTTGCACCTGATCCTTTAAAGTTATAGTAGTTCATTTTTAAATTGAAATAATTGAATATAGAAAAAAAGTAATTATATGATTAGAAAAAAAAAAATTGTTTGCGATGATCAAAAAAAAAAAAAAAAAAAAAATAAAAAAAAAAAAAAAAAAAAAATTATTTAAAAAAAAGTTTTGTTTGGTGCAATATAAGCAATTTTTATTAAAAATCTTTATCAGAAAGAAACATATGAGATACAAAGAACAGTTAGTTTTTGTCTATATGGTATTCTTGGGAGTTTTTGTTTTTTGGGCACCCAAAAAATAATAATAATATAATCATTTAACTATTTTTTATTATAAAAAAACCCTGAAAAAATCTGGATTTTTTTTTTTTTTTTTTATTTTTAAGAAATTTTTTTATAAAACATATAAATGGTTATGGAAAGAATATTCCGTTCTTTTTATTTATCTTTTATATTTTTTTGGTGTGAATACAATTTTAAAAAAATATTATATTTTCAAACTAAGAAGTAAATCTTGGTTTTAAAAAACAAAGAAATATATTTTTGGAAAACCTGGCAATTATAAAATAGGATTTTTACTTTTCAATT